AGATCAGAGAAGTATTTGGATTTAGCAGCTTTCACAGCCATATTGGAAATAAGACAGAATTCATGGAAGATGAAAGTGAAGCAGCCGACCAGCAAACTCTGCAACAAACTTCCAGGCTTCTCAAAAGGCTGTGAAGAGTTCCCCTCTCCATCTACAGCAATATCACAAAGGATTTATGAGCAGACTGCTCAGTGGAAGGTGAGGGGTTTAGGTTTATTATATGCTGGATTTAATGTACGTTATCCCTTCATGTAGATTTTATTTTTTTTTGCAATAAAGCAGCACCGCAACTTCACCATGAAACTACAAATGGGAGAAGCTCTGATGCAGCTGCAAGGTACATTAACTGTTTTTTCTCATATTATACTAAAACTTATAAACAAGTTATACAACAAACTTAATGCAATTTTGAAGAGACCAGATGAAACGCATCTCCTGGAGCCAGTTCTAAATGATATAGTTTAGATGGTATATAAATCATTACAGTTCAGAAGAGGTTTTTGTGTAAACTTGCACAGGTTTTGAAATTTTGTTAAAAGATTTACTAAATATGAATCAATATGGTTAAGATTGTGAAGTCTGTATATTTCATATTAGGTTAAGTTTTGAAAATATAACAAATGTTAGAGCAACATGGTTAAAAAAAAAAAAACGGTCAAGTCTGTATTTTACTATGAGTTAAAGGTTAATATACTATGGTAGGCTGAAGTTTGTTTACTTTTGTATTTAGATATTTTGAATTATTTGTCTGTGATTGACTGGAGACCTGTCCAGGTGTCCCCCGCCTCTCACACACTGATGGCTTGATATGGGCACCAGTGACCCCAGTGACTCGAAAAGGAAGAAGTGGATAAAGATGATCGATGAATTATTTGTTCCTAGATTTTCATTTTATTAATTTATTTTTAGAACAAAAAAAATAAATAAAATAAAAAATCAGGCAACTAAGCTAACCTAATACTGGTCCATCCATCCATCCATTTTCTTCCGCTTATCCGGGGTCGGGTCGCGGGGGTAGCAGCCTAAGTAGGGAGGCCCAGACTTCCCTCTCCCCAGCCACTTGGGCCAGCTCTTCCGGGGGAATCCCGAGGCGTTCCCAGGCCAGCCGAGAAACGTAGTCCCTCCAGCGTGTCCTGGGTCTTCCCCTGGGCCTCCTTCCGGTGGGACGTGTCCGGAACACCTCACCAGGGAGGCGTCCAGAAGGCATCCTAAACAGATGCCCAAGCCACCTCAACTGGCTCCTCTCGATGTGGAGAAGCAGCGGCTCTACTCCGAGTCCCTCCCGGATGATCGAGCTTCTCACCCTGTCTCTAAGGGAGAGCCCAGACACCCTGCGGAGAAAACTCATTTCGGCCGCTTGTATCCGAGATCTCATTCTTTCGGTCACAACCCAAAGCTCGTGACCATAGATGAGGGTGGGAACGTAGATCGATCGGTAAATTGAGAGCTTCGCCTTTTGACTCAGCTCTCTCTTCACCACGACAGACCTGTACAGCGCCCGCTTCACTGCAGACGCTGCACCTATCCGCCTATCGATCTCACGCTCCATTTTTCCCTCATTCGTGAACAAGACCCCAAGATACTTGAACTCCTCCACTTGGGGTAGGACCTCCTCCCTGACCCAGAGAGGGCACTCTACCCTTTTCCGGCTCAAGACCATGGCCTCGGATTTGGAGGAACTGATCTTCATCCCTGCCGCATCGCATTCGGCTGCGAACCACTCCAGCGAAAGCTGTAGATCACGATCTGATGAAGCCAATAAGACCACATCATCTGCAAAAAGCAGAGACGCAATTCTGAGGCCACCAAAACGGATCCCCTCAACACCTTGGCTGCGCCTAGAAATTCTGTCCATAAAAGTTATGAACAGAATCGGTGACAAAGGGCAACCTTGGCGGAGTCCAACTCTCACTGGGAACAAGCCCGACTTACTGCCGGCGATGCGGACCAGGCTCTGACACCGGTTATACAGGGACCTAACAGCCCGTATCAAAGGGCCTGGTACCCCATACTCCCAGAGTACCCCCCACAGGGCCCCCCGAGGGACGCGGTCGAACGCCTTCTCCAAGTCCACAAAGCACATGTAGACTGGTTGGGCAAACTCCCACGCACCCTCCAGGACCCTGCTGAGAGTGTAGAGCTGGTCCAGTGTTCCACGGCCAGGACGAAAACCGCACTGTTCCTCCTGAATCCGAGGTTCGACTATCCGACGGACCCTCCTCTCCAGAACCCCCGAATAGACCTTACCAGGGAGGCTTAAGAGCGTGATTCCCCTGTAGTTGGAACACACTCTACGGTCCCCCTTTTTGAATAGGGGGACCACCACCCCGGTCTGCCAATCCAGGGGAACTTCCCCCGATGTCCACGCAACATTGCAGAGTCGCGTAAGCCAACACAACCCTACAACATCCAGAGCCTTAAGGAACTCCGGGCGGATCTCATCCACCCCTGGGGCCCTGCCACCGAGGAGCTTTTTAACAACCTCTGCGACCTCAGCACCAGAGATTGGAGGGCCCAACCCAGAGTCCCCAGGCTCCGCTTCCTCAGTGGAAGACGTGCCGGTGGGATTGAGGAGGTCTTCAAAGTATTCCGCCCACCGACCCACAACATCCCGAGTTGAGGTCAGCAGCACACCACTCCCACTATAAACAGTGTTGGTGGCATACCGCTTCCCCCCCCTGAGACGCCGGATGGTGGACCAGAAACGTCTCGAAGCCGTGCGGAAGTCGTTCTCCATGGCCTCTCCGAACTCCTCCCATGCCCGAGTTTTTGCCTCAGCAACCACCCGAGCCGCATGTCGCTTGGACTGCCGGTACCCATCAGCTGCTTCCGGGGTCCCACAGGCCAAAAAGGCCCGATAGGACTCCTTCTTCAGCCTGACAGCATCCCTCACCGACGGTGTCCACCATCGGGTTCGAGGGTTGCCGCCGCGACAGGCACCGACAACCTTGCGGCCGCAGCTCTGGTAAGCCGCCTCGACAATAGAGGCACGAAACATGGTCCACTCAGACTCAATGTCCCCCACCTCCCTTGGAACATGTTCAAAGTTCTCCCGGAGGTTGGAGTTGAAACTCCGTCTCACAGGAGACTCTGCCAGACGTTCCCAGCAAACCCTCACAATACGTTTGGGCCTACCAGGTCTGACCGGCATCCTCCCCCACCATCGGAGCCAACTCACCACCAGGTAGTGATCAGTTGACAGCTCCGCCCCTCTCTTCACCCGAGTGTCCAAGACATGTGGCCGCAGATCAGATGAGACGATGACAAAGTCGATCATCGAACTGCGGCCTAGGGTGTCCTGGTGCCAAGAGCACATATGGACACCCTTATGCCTGAACAAGGTGTTCGTTATTGACAATCCATGACGAGCACAGAAGTCCAACAACAGAACACCACTCTGGTTCAGATCAGGGGGGCCGTTCCTCCCAACCACACCCCTCCAGGTCTCACTGTCATTGCCCACATGAGCATTGAAGTCCCCCAGCAGAACAAGGGAGTCCCCAGAAGGTGCACTTTCCAGTACCCCCTCTAAGGACTCCAGAAAGGGTGGATAATCTGAACTGCCGTTTGGTGCATAAGCACAAACGACAGTCAGAACCCGTCCCCCCACACGTAGGCGGAGAGAGGCCACCCTCTCATTCACCGGGGTGAACCCCAATACACAGGCACCAAGTTGGGGGGCAATTAGTACGCCCACACCTGCTCGGCGCCTCTCACCAGGGGCAACTCCAGAGTGGAAGAGTGTCCAGCCCCTCTCAAGGAAACTGGTTCCAGAGCCCGAGCCATGCGTAGAGGTGAGTCCGACTATTTCTAGCCGGAACCTCTCAGCCTCACACACCAGCTCAGGCTCCTTCCCCACCAGTGAGGTGACATTCCACGTCCCAATAGCCAGCTTCTGTAGCCGAGGATCAGACCGCCAGGGTCCCCGCCCTCGGCCACCACCCATCCCACATTGCACCTGACCCCTTTGGCCCCTCCCACAGGTGGTGAGCCCATGGGAAGGGGGACCCACGTCTCCTCTTCGGGCTGTGCCCGGCCGAGCTCCATGGGTAAAAGCCCGGCCACCAGGCGCTCGCCCACGTGCCCCACCTCCAGGCCTGGCTCCAGAGTGGGGCCCCGGTGACCCACGTCCGGGCAAGGGAACACTAGGTCCATTTGTGTTTTCCACCTAATACTGGTAATTTAAGTTAAAGAATTTTATGCACTCCTATATTTTACCCATTTTTGGTATAAATATAAAATTAATCAAAAAGATGTGATTCAGTAAGGAACCTAAAATGATTGTTTTAAATAAATGTTCTATTTGTTTACATTGTTGTTTAATCTTTTCAGCTTGTCAGTTACATATACATTATAATTGAAACTAAATTTATGACCATGTCAATAGAAAAATAGTTTCCGAATCGAAAAAAAAAAAAAAATCGATTTTGAATCGTACCCCGACATCAAAAATCGGAATCGAATGGGATCACCAGATAGAGATTCGCACCCCTACTGCTCAGCCAGCCACGGAAAGATCCCCATTGCACCAGTACTTTTTAGCTGATTTGAGGCCGATTCTGGACCTTTTTTTGTCCCCGCTTCTCTGGTGGGACCGTTGGAGCTGAGTCGAGCTGACTCCGGACCGAAATGTGAATGCAGGACACCAATTGGTCAGGGGGAGGTGCCACTGGATCTCAAACTTTTCACCAATCCGCCATTTGCAGTTTCTAGGAACTCGGAGCAGCAGTTGGATCTATTTTTAATATTTTGAAAACAATGATGACACCGTTTAATGCTGAAGTCCAGGACTTTTTTGTGTTTGGTGACAGACAATAAAATTTGAGCGAGCTGAGTCACAGCGGAGGATCATACGAGCTGCCGACCCGTTGAAGCACATGAGGCCCGCGGCTTAATAACTGTAGAGTCTTATTTATGTACAAAATTATGATTTATCTTTTATTTAATAAGTGCGGCTTAGAGACCGGTGCATTCTAAAGCCAGACAATTACGGCACTTGCCTCCAAGTTTTTCCAGCTCTTCATGAGGAGTGGACCTCAAACTGCTAGACTGGCTGCCTGAAGGACTGATGTTCCTGGTAAAAAATTGGCTGAAGCGGCTTGCGGATACTGGACCCTCTCCCAAAACATCCTCTATCATCTGAGAAGAAAAATAAATGCACGTGAGACACTGTAAAACAAGCAACTTTATGCTGAGGAGTGCAAGAACAGAAGTTAACACTTACGTTTAGATTGTTTTCCATAAATTTAGCACAAAATGTGCCAGAGGATTGCAGGCAGTGTCTCTGACGGCACTGCTATTTGACAATGTACTGATTCATCATCGCAAACCAGCTTTAGTTTGGAGCCTGGTTCACTTGATTCTCCAGACAGTACTAGGGACTAACGTGTGTATGATGGGCATAAATTTTGAGTACCAATACACATTCAACCTTTACAAAACCCCGTGCATGAGCCCACAAAACAAAATTGTAAGTGCACCATTAGTGACTATTCACCACTCAAGATCAAAATCAGAGATCAAGCCAGTGCAGCAGATGAAATCTGGTGTTGAAACCATATCTGTACCTCAAATATTTAAAAATCAAAATGGCTTCTTTAGTTTTATGTTGCGTCTATGGTAGTACACAATGCAATTAAAATAAAAAGGTTACCACTGCCGTAATTAATAATTAATTAAATAAAAAGGTTTGAACTAAACTCCTGCAAGTGTGGCTTGGGAACAGAATATGAAAACTTCAACAGATTACAATACTGCATACAAGAAAATACATTAAAAATTGTCGGAGGTAGAAGATTGCACCCATTCTGTGATGTTAAAACCTTAAAATAAATGTGTGCACCCCAGTACTTACAGAAACCAGTCCTGGCATAGTTTGCTCTAGATTGAAGAATTCGTTGAAGTCAAAGTCCCCAGTTGACTGGTCTGGAAGAACATCAGGATGGGGAACTTCTTGGTCTGCTGTAGACTGCAAGCCCACACCTTGCTCCTCAGCTAGTCCACCATTGCATTCAACTGCTGCACAATATAGAAGGAGCATTAATACAACTTTAATGTTGTTTTAGTCAGAAAAGGCTAAATTACAATACAAGTTTTGACATGCCTTCTTTCACAGAGTCCGTCCGCTTTCTTGATCGCTTAGATTTGCGTTTATCTTCCTCCAAGATTTTGTCATCAAAACCAATGAGCTCTATTGTCTCTGACTGGCTGGTGGGACCACCTGAGAACCACTCTGGCTCCTCCTCTGCATAAGAGTCATTTCTTCTTCTCTCACTAAACACACGTTTATCACCAAAATCTCTCTGCAAATGAAAACACAAAACTGAGTAACTCCAGGAGTAAAAATGTAATAAAAGTTTTTAAACAAATGAGTAATGCGCCCCCCCCAATAAAAAATTTAATAAAATAAATCATGTCCAACTGTGAAAACAACTCGGAAACTTCCAAGTAAGACCTTTGACTTGCGGTAGTCCTATTTATAATAATGCCATTAAAAAATAATAACAAAAGCAATCATAATTAAATGTTACCCTCCACATCATACCACTATTGGAAATGCTGTTTGAATGGACCGAAGGGAGAAAACACCAACCCTGAATCTTTTATCTTTAAAGTCTCTTTCTCGTTCCCTTTCTTTCTCTACACGGGCTTCTCTCTCAAAGGCACGGGAAGCAATAATTCGTCCACTGCCGATTCTGCGAGCTCCTCCAAGACGGAGAGACTCATTTTCCTTATTTTCCAGAGGACTGATTGGTCGACGGATGTGGACCACAGGTGCTGCATTGCCTTGACAGCCACCTCCAAAGCTACGCCGTTGTGGGCTCAGTACGACATCCATGTCATCCTCCTTTAACCGCTCACGAGGATCTGAATATATTTAATTAAGAATACTATTATGATGTTCCAGGAAAAAAATACAAATGTACATACATATACAGTGGAGAAAATAAGTATTTGATACAATGGCAATTTTGCAAGTTTTCACACCTACAAAGAATGGAGGTCTGTAATTTTTATCGTAGGTACATTTCAAGTATGAGAGACAGAATATAAGAAAAAAAAATGCAGAAAATCACATTGTATGTTTTTTTTTTAAATAATTTGCATTTTTATTGCATGAAATATGTATTTGATCACCTACCAACCAGCAAGAATTCTATTTCTCACCGACACGTTTTTCCTTTAAGAAGCCCTCCCTCCTATTCTGCACTCATTACCTGTATTATTTGCACCTGTTTGAACTTGTTACCTGTATAAGACACCTGTCCACTCACACCATCACACTCCAACCTCTCCACCATAGCCAAGACCACAGAGCTGTTTAAGGACACCAGGGACAAAATTGTAGACCTGCACAAGGCTGGGATGGGCTACAGGACAATAGGCAAGTAGCTTGGTGAGAAGGCAACAACTGTTGGCGCAATCATTACAAAATAGAAGAAACACAAGATGACGCAATCTTCCTCTGTCTGGGGCTCCATGCAAGATCTCACCTCGTGGGGTAAGGAGGATTCTGAGAAAGGTCAGGAATCAAGCCAGAACTACACAGGAGGACTTTGTCAATGACCTGAAGAGAGCTGGGACCAGTCTCAAAGAGGACTATTAGTAACACACTACGCTGTCAAGGTTTAAGATCCTGCAGGGCATGCAAGATCCCCCTGCTCACACCAGCACATGTCCAGGCCTGCTTGAAGTTCACCAGTGACTATCTGGATGATCCAGAGGAGGCATGGGAGAAGCTCATGTGGACAGATGAGACCAAAATAGAGCTTTTTGGTAGCAACTCCACTCGGTGTTTGGAGGAAGAAGAAGGATGAGTACAACCCCAAGAACACCATCTCAACCGTGAAGCATGGGGGTGGAAACATCATACTTTGGGGATGCTTTTCTGCAAAGGGGACAAGATGAATGCACTATATTGAAGGGAGGATGGATGGGGTCATGTATCGTGAGATTTTGACAACAACCTCTTTCCCTCAGTAGGAGCATTGAAGATGGGTGGTGGCTGGGTCTTCAGCATGACAATGACCCCAAACACACAGCCAGGGCAGCTAAGGTGTGGCTCCGTACAAAGCATTTCAAAGTTCTGGAGTGGCCCAGACAGTCTCCAGACCTGAACCCATTAGAAAATCTTTGGAGCAAGCTGAAACTCAATGTTGCCCAACGACAGCCCCGAAACCTGAAAGATCTGGAGAAGATCTGTATGGAGGAGTGGGCCACATCCCTGCTGCAGTGTGTCCAAACCCGGTAAAGAACTATAGGAACCGTCTGACATCTGAAACTGCAAACAAAGGTTTCTGTACCAGATATTAAGTTCTGTTTTACCATTTATCAAATACTTATTTCATGCAATAAAATGCAAATTATTTAAAAATCATACAAATGTGATTTTTTGTGGACTTTTTCTTAGATTCTGTCTCTCACAGTTGAAGTGTACCTACAATAAAAATTACAGACTTCTCCATTCTTTGTAGGTAGGAAAACGTGCAAAATCGGCAGCATATCAAAAACTTATTTCCCCCACTGTACACACACGTTAAAATATGGAGAAACCAAGTTTCAACACAGACAATACATCTTAACTCTTTTTCCAAATTGACAGGATTTTGTGCACAGAAAAAGCAAACAGACAATTTTTCTTAAGAGCTCTTAAAATGCCATAATTCATTTACCTGGGATTCTTCGTTTCGGAGGAACTCTGTCGTCTCCGTAGTCCTTTTTAAAACCTTCTACAGGAGAGTTTCGCTCTGAAGTTGGGTACAGGGACGCATGCCATTTTTCTGGGTCCCACACACCATCACTGGGAATTTTTTTTAAAAATCAAAACACATTCCAACTTAGTGTAGTAAATCACAGACTATAGAAGCTACAGAAAATAAACCATTGTAAACCATTTAAAGATCAATTTGTGAGTGGAAGCTATGTCAAATCTTAATATTAATTAAAAAAAAAAAATTTAGACTATTGCAAGAGCAATGGATGTTTTTCTGATAACATACTGTAAACACATTGTTCAGGAAGAACTTTTTCTCCTTGAAGAAATATGATGGCAAAAATAAAACGTGATTAAACTTTCATGCTCCACATTGACTAAGAGGATCATTAGCTAAAACACAATCAGTCACACTTTCTCAGTGAAGTAGGCATACACATTTGTAAACTGGATGTTCTGCTCTTCACAAAAGGACCAGCAACACGTGTACAACCACCTAGACTATCTGGCTAAAGAGATGTTCTGACAAAGATTGAAATTTGGTCTGAATAATGTCTTTAGTTCTACAGAATATAATAAAGTGAAGATTGTGCATAATTCGGTTTTTAATCTCTATTCCATGTCAATGTTAATGACAAACTGTTCAGACACAATGTCACTCCAGCAAATGCTTTTCCCTCATCTTTGTCACCACCTTCAGCCTAGTCATATACAAAGAAACCATTAAGGAGCAGACCATACTTCAACTGCAGTCAATTATTTCCTCAGTCACTGTGTTTTTAAAAATCATGTTACAACTATTTATGTAATCCTAAAGCAAAAATTAAAAGGAAATTTGAGTTTACAGACCTCTTAAAATTACCAAGTCACCCCAATTCTAAAGATTGCAAAAAATACATTTGATTTAAAGACTAAAGGTTTAATAGGACAAGTTTCACAAAAGCAATGTAGTCAATATTTACATTTGATATTAAAAGATTTTATAATTTGAAACCTGATAAATGAACATGAACTTGTGTATGCAGTCAGTTTAAGTAGATTTATTCAGCTTAGTAACTTAATGCTGGTCGTTTATGATGTAGAATGTTTCTGTACTTTGCTTACTAGTCGCTCAAGACAATCTGCAGATGACCTTCTGGAACAATGATTTTTTTTTTTTTTTTTTTAACATTTGCTTTAGACTCCAAACAATAGTCCCAAATCTCTTGAATACATGGCAACGGGGCATGAAAAGACATGCCATATTGTCTCGACTCAATGAGACTAACCTGTATTTATAAAAAAAAAAAAGTTGAATGAATGCTGCTGGGGAATCGTATTCTTGTAAAACCCCAAAATAAAAATTCAATAGTATAATATAAAAAAAGGTTAGGTTGTGTCAAATAAAGCTTCATATGACTACATGAAATAATTAGATTCATGTTGTCGTGTAGATTGCAATAAAGTGATAAGACTAAATTTATTGTCAGTAGACAGATTTGGGGAACAATGATGCCTTGCCACGTTTTCAATGCTAGGTCTATAAGTTTCCAAATCAACTGACAAGACATGGATATTACACATTTTGCTTAATTTCTTTCCATGTTAACGTACATAAAAATCACTAAAAAGAGAGGAAAAAGAAAGAACCTGTCATATTTGTCTGAGAGACATTCTGGCCTTTCATTGGAGATTGGCAGTTCTTTTATCTCCAGAAGCTCCTCCTGGAAAAGATGTTATGTTGCATTAAAAAGAAGAATGTGTATGGCTTCCCATTAAAATTTCTACGGATTCTTCTCGTCACCTTTGTGTATCTGTACGGCAGTTTCTTGGGTTGGTTCACAATGGCATCATTATTCTCCTGTTGACCAACATCTTTTTCCATGACTGAGCACAGAAAGAATTGTATCCTCTTGCTCACTAATAAACTTTATCTGCAAACGAACAAAGTAAGCATCTGTATTAAATTTTCACTTTTCAGGAAAATAAATAAATAAAATCCAAACTTTAGTTCAAAGTTGTTACAAGTTTAAAAGCAATGTAAGCGTATGCATGTGTGTATTTAAAAATATACAAGCACCAAAGAATAGTATTTCCAAATCATGACTTTGGGGAGAGGGACAAGCACTCACACACCTCGTTTTAATTAGCATGAACAAAAACTGAATTTACCATACTGATATAAAAAGTACGGATGTTAAATGCAGAAAAACGGAAAAAGTTTAAAAGTATTAACCTTCACGTGACACTAGTCGAACATTCAAGGCAGCTCTAATCTTGCCGCTGGGTAATTGACAAGTTAATTGATCACAGCTTGAGACAATTGGCACGTCAATTAAAGTACAAGTGTAGGCAATAACTAAAAAGAAATGTAACGCCTAAACATTGAAAAAAAAAAAAAGATTGCTTAAATAAGTATACCTTGCATAAAACAGTCCTTAAACAAGAAGTTTTTATTGATTGTTTAAAAAAAAAGTATACACATGCTAACAATTAGCATAAAGATTAAAGGTAGCGAAAAGAATGAAGTAACTCAGTTGCTTGTAAAACAATTTTACCAACTTGTAAAAACAGAGTATTAAAAGTATTTACAAACTTACTGTGTATAAATGTTGGGTAGTGCGACTGCTCACGTCTGAGCAGCAGAGTTCACGTTAGTTAGCCAGCTAGCCTATTAGCAGCTTTCGCCAGCTAACTTAACTAGCTGGGGAATGAGGGATAAATCCCACCCAGCGAGTACAAACTCTTAAACCGGTTAAGATGTTGTAATGAGTTTAGTAAAAACACACTATCGTGAGATAAACCTTTAACACAATAACACAGGTTCAAACTACAAATAAAGCTACACAGAGCCTGTGCTATCTCGAATTATTGTCTGCTCTTTCTCTGTTTTCTAAGTCGTAGCAACAATTTTCCTACAATCACCGCTTTAAGAAGGTCCTGGGAGGGATTACATTCTATACGCCTGTGTAGAATGTCAAAATTTGAGTCTGGCGTATATTGTTTCTCGAGTATTTCAAACACAATATGAAATTAACATATTTTTGGCAGGGTATATAGTTTTCTAAAGTACAACATGAAACGAACTGACTTTATTAGGGATGTAATTCATTTTAAATTTAACATTTCAAACGGGCAATCTTGGGGACGTTTAAGGCTTCAATTTAGGGTTTGCTCGATTTGTGTTACTTCAAAGCGATTTCCTGGAGACATTTTTTTTAAATAAAAGACTGCCTTTTCGGGCGGTCAGGGTATAACTCTGGTCTTTTTGTTCGATTCCTGTATGATTTTTGAGTACAGTACTTCTTTAAATAAAATAGGTTTGTTTAGTGTCAAACAACAATGTAGTTCTAAATAAATTGATTAATTAATCAACCCATTGTATATGTTGCAATCCAATTTGTGAACAAACGAGCAGACGTAACTGAGCAACAAATTTTTGGTATTTGTTTCTCCTATGTAGACATTTACTTTGCCAGTGAGTGGAGACAATTAACCTCTCCGTTTCCGAAACGTAGTTCCCACTTGTCAACATTTCAAGCGGCCTGGTGCGCCGGCGATTAGAAAAACAAGCATAGCTGCGGTCCGTGGTCACGTGACAAGAAAAACAAACAGACGGCGCTTTGTAACAGGACTTTTTACATGAAAGGTTGAAGTTTTCTTTTCCTCGAATATTAACTACATAAAAGTCTGCTAAGTTGGTGCTATTGATGTATGGCATGTTTTTGTCGTGGTGTGTAGCAATGGTATGAGTTGTTATTATTACAACAATGCAGAGTAATTTTGTCAGAAAGTCAGACTCAGCATCGAAACCACGGATCAGATCGTCTGACAGTGAATCAAAACAGCTGAAAGTTCAAACTAGAAAGATTCCTTACAGAGTTGGATACAACTGGAACAAAGGAGGGAGGCTCAAGGAGCTGAGGATAAGGTGCGAACACCTTTTTATAAACCAGTTTTTCCATATCTAATGCAAATATTTTAAGATACATTTCGGCGTTTTTAAATTTCAGGCACCTGGCTAGAAAATTTCTGAAGCTATGGATGCACAGGACATTTGGACGAGTCCTTCCCCAGGAAGCAAGGTAACTAGAACCATTATTAGAGTCTGTTTAGCTCTCCTGCTTAAACCTCAGGTGACCTCTAATAGTAAAGAAATGTGGTGTGTCACAGGGTCCACTATACTTGGACAGTCCTGAGAAGAGCTTTTGAAGGATGGAGGGACGAGTGGTGGACATCCAGGAGGGAGTGGAGTCTTACAATGAGGGCAGACTGCCATTATAGGTCACTGCATGACATTGTTAATTCTAATGTAATGTCTTACACCTGCATGAACTCATTGTTGTTTGTGTTTTAGATATTACTTGTGTACAAGAACTTTACACAGATGGAGAGCTTTTATATCTTTGCAAAGGGAGAAAAACACTAAACTGCAGGAAGCTCAGTTATTAGGTATGTTTATAATAAAGAAGGAGAGTCTCTTCACAAGCCTCAGGTGCATCTTTAACTGCGCTGTTTGTGTGATTAGCTGACAGGCGACTGATGCGTTTGGTTTGGGATAAATGGAAGGTTTTTATTGAGATGAAGAGAATGCACAGACGAATGCTTGGATCAGCTCTTGAGCACAAGAGACTTTCGATGATAAAGTGAGTTTTTGTTGCATTTATTAATCAAATATTGACACGTTTTTTTTTTTGTTTTACTGGTTTTAACACTTATGTGTTTTACAGCTCAGCATGGAATCTGTGGCAGACGAGGCTGCAGCAACAACAACAACTTCACATTTTTGAGGACCAAGCACTGAAGCAGAGGGCTCTGAAGTTACAGAGCAAGGTAAAGACACCTTATTCATGTCTAATGATAACGTATCTTGCTTCCCCCCCCTAAATCTGTGTTACTTCTGTTCTTTTGTCAAAGGCTTGGCTAGTGTGGAAAGAGATGTATAGAACTGCTTGTCATGAGAGGGAGAACGAATCTAAAGCGGCTCTTCATTTTATTGTAAGGCAGAAAAAACAACTGTTCTGTCAATGGATATGTTATGTGTCCCATCGTAAGACCAAGAAAACAGCACAAGGTCTTTGTGGTTTTATTTCTTGAATTTTCACCTGTTAGTTTACACATGTAGAACTTTGTTATAGTTGCTGTATTGTTTGCAAACCTTTTAGCTGCAGCTCAGCATGCCTGTAGTCTGCACCTGGGGAGGAACTGTTGGAGTAAATGGAGAAACGCTCTGAATCAGAGACTGACTGAAGAGATCTGTTTGCAAGCTGCCAGTCATTTGGCTGTTCGGAGCACCCAGCGCAGAGCTCTGGAGCGCTGGAAAGCTTGTATCCTCACGTTTACATGGAACTAACATGGCTTTGTTATTTGCTGATGGAAGATGGGGTGTTTTTACTTTCATTCATACAGCTGATTGGTTCTTAACTCTTCAGTAGATGTGAAACTGTGCAGAGAAAATGCTGAACGAAATCAGACGGCATGTCAGCATTTCCATAATCGATTATTGGTAAGAAAATAAGCAATTAAAAAACAAAAAGAAATTGAGAAGCATAAAATTTTTATTCGCCTTATGTTCCTGTTTCAGCATGCTGGGTTGCAGGGATTTTCACTTAATGTCGTGCAGAACAGAGCCCGCAGACTAAACAACAACATGGCTGTCCAACACCATCAGCAAACTGTAAGTGATGAGTATTAGATGATATGCATGCTAAACTGTCTGCTAGTTATTTTAATGAAGGTGTGGAAACATCTAATGGTTTGTTGTAGATGATGAGTAAGTACTGGAAACAATGGAAGGAGCGCCTGGAGGAAGCTGAAGATCAGAGCTTTCAACCTTTAAGTGGGATGGCTCAGACAAACTACAGGTGTTTTTTTTTCTTCACAGGTTTAATTTATAATGATTTTTAGCTAGATTCAAAGTTTGAGCTAGTTAAAAAAAACACAATAAACCTTTTATTCAGACGTAAATGTCTTTTCTCTTTGCAGGATTTCTTTATTGAGGAGCTGTTTTCACCTCTGGAGAGAGAAACTTGCTCAACAAAGATGTATGCAGGTATTTTTATTTACTAGCCATGCGCTGCTTGCAACTCTGTTTTGAAACAAACTGGGATGCTGGTAAAGTGGAATTGGAAACAGAACACAATGACTTGCACTTTGTTAAAATTTGTATTTATTTTACATTTGTACAATTACAACACATCTTGTCAAGATAATTTAGATAAAGAACTTTACTAATTGGCTTTTATGTATGTGAATGTTTCTGTAAAGTGCCCTGAGACAACTTTGTTGTGATTTGGCGCTATATAAATAAACTGAATTGAATTGAATAATTTTATCTTTACACAACTGAAGATGGTTTTATGATGTTAATAGCATGAACAAAACAAATGTTTATCACCTGATAAAATTCTTATCAGCAAAGTGGAAACACCGGCTTTGGCAGAACCAAGTCGAGGGGCTTTGGAGCTGCTAGAAGTTTCAAAGCAAATTCCTCTTTTTAGTTGAGGTTTAACATGATGGTTATGGAAGGAGACCTCAAGACAGACCAAGAACATGCTGTATAGTAGAGCTGTGATTTCTAAACTAGGCCCAGCCAAAATTATGTGCTTGATGGGCGGGCCAGGTTGGTCTCGGGCTTTTGATTTGGTTTTATGGATCATACAGCACAAGGAAAACTAAATAAGAATGCACAATATAAAATAGTGTTAATCTACTTGTAGAGGAAGAGGCAGGTCCAACCGGCCGGTTGAAAGAGGGGGGAAAAAAAAGTCCAGTTAAGCTTCAGATGGATCACCGGATCATCGCCTGTGCGTGTCTCAGCAGCTGCTGTCATCTGCGGTGAAGGAGGTTGCAGCATCTGAAGCGTCAAAAGCCGAAGCGAGCAGCGCATTCAATTAAAATAGCCTTGTTCGATTAAAATTGCTGTGTTCTATATTATTCCAAATAATTTTGCTCTAAAAATATTTTTGTTTATCTGATAGCCTATCTTTAGAGTAGATTTTTTTTAGGCTTTTCATTTTGTTAATATCCATTTGGTGAAACAAGAAATCTTATATCTTCCTTTCTTTGAAATACATTTTTCAAACTGCATGTCAAACTGATATGTTTACAAAAGCAGTTAAAGCTTAATTACAACAACAACAACAACAAAAAACAACATTTTTTGGGGGGTTCGGGCCTCTTATTACAGTTAATTGTTGGGTCCGGTTCGGAAAAAATGGCTACGGGCTGGGGTCGGGTAGGATTTTTTAGGCCAGAATGCTACTGTGGAGGGATTTTGTATCCTCTCTGGCCTGGAAACACCCCTGGATCCTTCAGGATGGGCTCTAGAGAGGGTTGTCTGGGTTTCCCCCTGGACCTGTTGCCTCCGTGACCCAATAAACAGAAGAAAATGAATGGATGGTTAAAATAACAACACAGCCAGATTAAAAGCACAAGTTCTCATAAAATAATGTAGTTTTGTTCCACTGATGACCTTTTTCTGTAGAGCATTCTTTTTATGTGCATCTAAATGAAAACAAACAGCCCTAAACAACCAACAGATTTATATTTCTATAATTTAAAAAAAAGAGAGCTGATGTTTCAGCACCTACACAGACTGTTCGTAAGCACCAAGATAACATATATTGTATGGAAATAAAGTGAATATTCTTTAAACTGGAAAAATCCAAATAAATTTGAGATATGTCACTAAACTTGTGATTCCACTGCTTTTCAACAGGATATGGAGCTCCGAGCAGACGTGTGGTTTGCTGATTGTAAATTACCTCAATATTTCAAGTCGTGGCTGGAGTTCACTCTGCAGAGACAACTGCAAGAACAGAGAAGACGCAAAGCTGAAGCCTTCAACTGGTGAGCTGCTAATTAAGATCCAAACCAGGCAGGAGGATTTAGGTATTCTAATCACGTGTTTGTTTTGCTGTGTTTTCAGTCAGCGTCAGTACTCCTGGGTGTTTTACACCTGGTGGGGACAGTCAGAGAAGCACAAGGAGGAGATGCTGTCTGAGCAGATGGTATGCCAGCTGCAGAAGGAAACTAGCTTGTTGTTGATTCAGACCAGTGCTGTGCTCCAGGCTCATTGCATCGTGTTTCAGGCAGTCCTCCACGAGGAGCGACGTCACCTACGGAGAGCTTGGATTCAGTGGAGGCAGCACACACGACAACGGATCGAGGAGGCACAGAAACAGGAGGCGTCACGCTGTCTTTACGTTCACAGGCTTCTCCACAAAACGGTGACACAGTGGAAGAAGAACACCACAGAGATACAGGACCGGTGAGGACAAATGGGTGCTGTCAAAGCTTTTGATTCGTCTGAACTGGTCTCTAAGGTTGCTGTTGTGTTTGACTGCAGGAGACGCAGAGAGCTGCAGGCTTGTCATCGGGGGGACTTGTGCTGCATGAGATCAGCTGTAGATAAATGGAAAAAGGTAATTTTGGTCTCATCATGTCTTTATGCAGTCAGTGCACAGTGAGGCATCAGTGATCAAACAAGAAGCTGCAAATATCAACCTCTGCTCATGGATCTTTGTCTTCATCGCTGCAATTTTAAATAATCTAGTTTTGAGATGTCAGCGTTAGAGATGTTGGATGTTTCTAATCCCAATTTATTAATTTTTACAATCCTAAACTTAGAAGAGCAGCTGTTGTTGCTGTGTGTTTGTGTGTGTTAATCGCTTCAGTGACTGTGTGATTAGTTTGTTCAGGAGCAGAGAGAAAAGAAAATCAGGCTGACAAAGATTCAAAGTTGCCATGAAGTTAAACTCCTCAAACTCTCCTTCACGGCTTGGAAGGTGAATAATCATTAGCTTCAGGAGAGCAAACCATATGATTTGATCGGATGCTAGTGATAAAAATAAGGTAAAGCTTTTGTTGTATGAATTACTGTTTTCACAGGTACAACATATACAGATGACTCAGATGAATGAACAAGCAGAAGAATGTTACAGGCAGAAAACACAGCGGTTTCTCAGGTAATAAAAACAAACGTATACAATATGGGCTTTTATCCCTGCACTTTAAAAACCACAAGAGTATTCCAGCATTATCACTTTACGTCGTATATCCTCAGGAAAGTTTTTACTCGGTGGAGACAAAAGGCGGCGCTGCTGGTCGAGGTTCAGATGGCAGAGCAACAAGCCCAGAACCACTTTCAGAGATTTCTTCAACTTAAGGTTTTAAGGAATCACATGCCTTCATTCTCAAAAGTAACAAGGGAGAATCGTTTTTAAGCTTTTTTTAAATTAAATTTACTGCTGTCTTGTTAAAGGTGTTTGTTGGTTGGAGAGAAGCAACAACACGTGCAGTGTCAAAGCGCCACCAGCAGGGGGCAGCACTCAGCCGACTTCAGCGGACAATAAATCAAAGTAAAAAGACTTAACTACATAAAACAGTAGAAACATTACACGAATACCATTTGAAAGACTAAACCTTCCTGCTTATATATGGGTTGGAATAGCAGATCTCTATGTAAATGTTTTTTGTTGTGTTCTCTGAATTGTTTGGTTTTATTGTTGATTTTTGTCCAGTGTTGTTGTGTTGAACACTGTGGGCAGTTAAAGAATCTTATTAATACATTTTTAATATTTTTAACTCTTCAATAGTGTGAATGTTTATGACGCATTCACACTGTTGGGACCCATTTTTCTTCCGTACGTTTTTCTGCATCTTTCTCTTTCCACACTTTTGGGGTATTTCAACAAATCATATATCAAAATATCCTGATGCATGCTCAATAATCCAGGTAGAAAAATCTAAAAAAGTTAAATCTGGTCCTCTGGACATTCAAAAAAACAAACAAAGCAAAACAAAAAAAAAATGTAGAAACGTTTTGTCTTTCATCCGAGAGACTTCCTCAGTCTGAGGTGCTGTATTCAGCTCAGTCTTATAAATAGCACCTTCTCAGAGTGGATCAACCAGTTTGCTGCTGACAACCAAAACCAGCTGCTCACATGGTCAAGAAGGACCATCAGCCTAACGATGGATCATTAGCACACTGATGGCTGTTTACTATTCACAGGGGGTTGAGTGATACTAGCAATCACAGCATTGTAAGAGGGGGACAATTGAACACGTAGGCCTCCACCCCTGTTTAATGATGGACGATTTCTTTTCACAAAGATGGCCTCCTTTACTCCTCTCTCAAACCATCGTTCCTCTCTATCCAGGATGTGAACATCTTCATTCCTGAATGAGTGACCGCTGGCCTGGAGATGAGTGTAGACCGCAGAGTCCTGGCCTGATGAGGTTGATCTTCTGTGCTGGGCCATCCTTTTGGCCAGTGGCTGTTTAGTTTCCCCGATGTAAGACTGATCACAGCCCTCCTGACACTGAACAGCATACACAACATTACTCTGTTTGTGCCGGGGGACTGGATCTTTGGGATGAACCAGTCTTTGCCGTAATGTATTTTGGGGTTTAAAAGCCACTGGGACGTTATGTTTAGAAAATAAACGTCTCAGTTTCTCTGATACTCCCTCAACATATGGAATGACCACTGGTCTGGGTCTGGGTTCCTCCTTTTCACCTGTTGGCTGACTGGAGTCCTGTTTGGGTTTCTTCTCTGCTTTCAGGAAGGCCCAGTTAGGATATCCACATTGCTCTAGAGCCTGTCTTGTGTGGGATTTCTCCTTCTGCCTGGCTCCTGAGTTAGTGGGGATGCTGTCTGCTCTGTGATACAGAGTCCTGATGACTCCTAACTTGTGCTCCAAAGGGTGATGGGAGTCAAACTGCAAATACTGGTCTGTGTGGGTGGGTTTGCGGTACACCTCGGTTTGCAAAAGTCCTCTATCAGAGACTGAGACCTCACAGTCCAAGAAAGCTAGCTTGCCATTTATTTTACATCTTCTTGTGTGAACTTGATGTATTTATCCACAGAGTTGATGTGGTCAGTAAAATGTTGGACTTCCAGAGATTTGATTTTAACCCAGGTGTCGTCAACATACCTGAACCAATGACTTGGTGGTGTCCCTGAAAAGGACGTCAAGGCTCTCTTTTCTACCTCCTCCATGTACAGGTTGGCAATAATAGGAGAAACTGGAGACCCCATAGCACACCCATGTTTCTGCCTATAATATTGCTCCCCATATGTGAAGTAGGTTGACTGCAGGCACAGTTTCAAGAGTTGGCACAGTTGTTCTGTGGAAAGCGTGGTCCTGCTGCTCAGAGTGGTGTCTGATTTTAATTTTAAACTGACCACCTCTACTGCATCATCAACAGGAATGCACGTAAAGAGTGATGTGACATCAAAAGAGACCATTGACCATCTTTAAGCCTAATTGGACACATATGTGTTCTTTCTGCTGTCTTCTGCTAATTTAAGCGTATTCTATGTGTTCAGCTAACTTGATAGCATTTTTTGGGCAAATTTCAGCTGTTAGATAAATTCAAGTTTTTTGTGGTAATCTCTGCAACATTCAGCCTAATTAACTTTTTTCTGCTACTTTCAGCTTTTTATGCTATTTGGTATGGTATAAAGTTTATTCATTTTAAAAAAGTACAAAACAATTCCATAACAATATAAAAAAAGATACAAAAGATTTAAAATGAAAGGCAGCAGAAAGAAGAAAAAATCTTATTATATCTGCCCCTTTTTTCAAACAATTATTTCAATCATAATAATTTTCAAGTAACAGAACAAAATGAATAACTTTCTAATTTTTCTAATTCTAATACAAAACACACACTAAGCTACTTCATATATACTTTTTTAACAATTCAGTTTTGATCTTTTTCTTAAACGTATACATTGACTTGGCATTTTTAACATCACTCTCTAGACCATTCCACAATCCAACTCCTTGGATTGAGGTAGACCTTCCCTTCAGACTAGTTCTGAATTTTGGTTTGACAAATATTTCTATCCCCTTAAGATTATAACAACTTTGTCTTTTAACAAAATTTCTTTGGATATTTAATGGTAATGTGTTATTTTGAGCCCTATACATAACTGATAAAATACTGTAATCTACTAAATCATGGAATTTCAATAACTTCAGTTGATAAAATAATGTACTTGATGGGTGACTGTAATGCTTTCTGGTGATAATTCTTATAGCTCTTTTCTGTAAAATAAAAATAGGTTTTGTAAATGTTTTACATGCTTTCCCCCAAACATCAATGCAATAGATTAAATGTGGAACAATGATTGTGTTATACAACATGTACAGAGCTTTATCATTTAATAATTCCCTGACTTTGTATAGTACTGCAATAGATTTAGCTATTTTTGTTCTTACAGAATTTATGTGATTTTTCCATGTTAGCTGTTCATCAATGATTACACCCAAAAATTTCATCTCATTAACTCTACAAATCTCAACACCCGTTTTCTTTTTGTTACTAAATATCATGTATTTAGTTTTGTCTAAATTTAATGATAATTTATTAAGTTTAAACCAAGTTTGTATTTTATCAAATTCTGTCTTGATCAATTCCAACATCCGTTTTGCATCTTTACCCAAACAAAAAAATGTGGTGTCATCTGCAAAAAGGACACATTTGAGGAGTTCTGATACATTCACTAAGTCATTCACATATAAAATAAATAACTTTGGTCCAAGTACAGAGCCTTGAGGAACTCCACAAGTGATATTGCACAGGTCAGATCTTACACCATTTATTTGTACAAACTGTTTCCTATCTTTTAAATAGCTAGATACCCAGTGTAATGCTGGTCCTCTTACATCATATTTATTTATTTTTCAAGGAGAATAGTGTGGTCAATAGTATCGAATGCTTTTTTTAAATCAACAAAAATACTAACACAATACTGTTTTTGATCGACAGCAGTAGTTATTTGTTCTATTATTTCCATGAGAGCCATTGATGTAGAGTTTTTTGCTCTAAACCCATACTGACTGCTACTTAGAATGTTTTGTTTAGTAATAAATGTATCTAATCTGGTCACAAACAGTTTTTCTAGAATTTTTGAGAATTGTGGTAATAAGGATATTGGTCTATAATTATCGAACACACATTTATCACCATTTTTAAAGAGAGGAACTACCTTAGCTACTTTCATATTGTCTGGAAATGGAACTGAATGGTTCACATTATTGTCCACTTTTGGTATTTTAGCTGCAAGGCTTGATCCAACGTTCACAAAATGATGATTAAATCCATTTACAATTTCATTTTCATCATGGATTTCATTGTCATCCTTCAAAAAATATTGTGAAATACCTGTTTTTGCTTTATGACTTTTCAGAACACTAGTTATTACTCGCCATGTAGCTTTCATATCACCATTACTTTTATTTAATAAATCACTATAATATTCCTTCTTGTGTTTCCTTATAATCGCTACTAATTTATTTTTATACTTTTTATATTTCTCTTCAGCCTCTTGTGTTCTCAATTTCAAGAAACATGTATACAAATAATTCTTTTTTTTACAAGCATTTCTCAACCCTTTCGTCATCCATGGTTGGTCAACAACATTTCTCTTTGTACAATTATTTTGCACACAATTCTTTTCATACAGAGCTCCCAAAATATTCATAAACTCATCATATGATCTGTTCACATCATCAACATACACGTCTTTCCAGCTTTGTTTATGCAAATCATCTTTTAATTTGTCCATTGCTTTTTTTGATGTGTTTATTGTTTTTTCCTTAATTGTAATTTCTTTTGTAATGCTTTGATCATTTTTATAAATCATGAAAACTGGTAAATGATCACTTAAATCACTATTTCAGCTACTATTTACCGGTAGCTGTTTGCTAAGTTAATCTGTTTCAGCTATTTCTGCAGTTTTTGGGCTCACTTCAGTCCTTTTTGCTTCCTTCTGAAAGTTTAAGCATTTTTTCTGCCTTTTCAGCTACTTTTCAGCTACTTCGTGCTAATTTAAGCTTCTTTTTTTTTTTTTTTTTGCAAAGTCCCTAATTTTTACACTAATTTCTTCTTATTTAAACCTAATTCAGCAAATATGTGTTTTTTTTCTGCTTTCTTCAGCTAATTTAGGCTTGTTCTTCCATTTCAACTCATTTCAGCATGTTTTTAGCTAATTTCAGCTGTTTTTCAACAAGTTCGTCTGCAATAAGCATTCACACTGTATTTTTGCAGGAAATGCAATTTTTCTAGTTTGGTTTTGTTTTGCTCTCATACTCTGTTTACTGAGCAGTTTTAAAGACGAGCAGTAAAATAAAAAAACTAAAAACAACGAGCAGAGAAAATGATAGCAGCACATTTTTTATCCAGACAACAATCTTTAAAGTATTTATCATTTCTGCTGGTTGTAAAATCTGTTGATCTCAAATCATTCTGCACTTTTGTTTTTGTCTTTATATTTTCTGAATTTAGTTTGCCTGCTGCGATCATTCAGATGCTGGAGGAAACACACCAGAGAGGCTCGGAGGCAAAGGATAAACATGGAGAAAGCCAGGCGACATCACTGCTGCACACTTGTCTCTAAAACTCTGAAAGTGTGGCGCAAATATCACCACCAGCACCAGAGAAAAAGAGTTACATCATTATGCCTTTACAGTTATGGAAAGCTACTCTTCTGGCTTGTGCTGCAACATTAAACCATACATGTCATTCTTCAGGTAATGAAGCGGCAAGGAGTTGTTTTGCTGAGACTAAAGATGTACCAGAAGTACTTTGAGCTGTGGAAACTGAAGGTTTGTTCAAGTTTTCAAATCTGTTGATCAGTTCAGATGAATGTAGATAACCAAAGGAAAAAAAAGTGCAAATTCTTTTAAAACTGTAAAATGAGAGCAAGTTAATTTTGAGATCAGAGACTGAGACTCGTTGAGGAGATGGATCTGTGGGGGCTTTAAGAGCCGTTGTTCTTCTGTAGACAAAGATAGTTCCTTCTTACTGAAACTATTTGAGTTATGAGTTGTTTCCAGTATGACCTTGGATGAAACAAGGATCTGAAGTTTCCTACAGTACTGTATGTGGTTTAAGTTAGTGCAGTCAAACTGGCAGGGGCTGTGCTCTTTTTCCTGCAAACAGCTGCAGCACAGGCGGAGAGAGGCCCACCAGACGGAACGAGCTCTCTGGCTCTGGTCGCTCACCCTTCAGGCCAAGGTAACACCTGCCTTCACGTTTTTACCTCCAATCAAAGCTAAGCACAGAGTGCTTTGCAGAAATTAGCCTCCCATAGTTGATCGTGTCTCGATTCTGCTCTGTAAACTCTGCAGGTGTTGTCTGGGTGGAGGCTGTGGGCTGCAGAGCAACGCAGCAAGCGAGAGCAGGCATCCAGAGCGGCTCAGGTCTACAGAGACCGGCTGCTGAGGGAGGGCGTGTCGTGCATCCTCACATATGCAGCACACATGAGTGATCTCACAACGAGCCTAACACAGTTCAGCCAGGAACAAGTGGGTGGTGTGTGTGTTTGTTTTGATCTTTATATCTGCGTCTCTTCAGCCAGTCTGCTTGTGTCCTGCAGAGATCGCAGCGTCTCCAGAGAGTCGTTAAACGTTGCGCCTTGAGGTGGAAGCAGCGGGCGCTGTGCAGACGACGAAAAGAGCAGGAAGTCGGACAGCTTAAGAAAAGCGTGACCTTCTGTTTGACCGAGCCTGCTCTTGGCAGCATCTCCTCGTCTGGCTCAGAGGAGCAGAGAGATGATGCTCCAAGCAGGCAGTGAGTGTGTTTGTTCAAACTTTCAGGCTGTGAAACTGAAACACACCAACTACAGAGATAATTCTGTGGGCTTCGAACATAAATGTTGTAATGTTATCTAAATGTGTATTCATGAGCATTTATTGTGCAAGAACGTGCAACTCTGACCTAAATGCTTTTCTGTTTCATTCTAGTACCAAATATGAACCGGACCCCGCCTGCTCTGAAGCAGCTCTGAACCCCTTTGAGTTTAGCTGTCCTTCACACCAAGACCCTGCCCCATCCAGTTTACTCATATCTACTGTGATACTTTCTGGACCTCAAAGATCCATTGCTGTCTCACCTCTAGAGCTTGAAAACCAGGATGTTCTACTGCCTCCAGCTGCTTTTATGACACCAAAGACTCAGAGAACAGTCTCAACTTTGATACAACCTCCATCAGCTTTTACAGGTTTTTTTTTCCCTTCTCGGTTAGATTTTAAAAAAAATATAAGAACTTTATTTATTAAGCTTGTGTTACTTAACCCAAACTCAAATAATCCAGTCAATATATCTGTTGTGATGCCTTTTTAAGACTCCAACCTGAGAGCCATCAGAAGACCATCTAAGGATCCTCGTGAAGAAAACGAATCATATTCTGCAGAATCAGCTCTGACACAAGAGCTTCTCAGCATTCAGCGAGATATGAAGAGCTTCCAGCAGAGCAGAAAGCAGCTCCGGTAAAAACAACAACAAAAAAACTAAACATTGTTTCTACAGTGGTCGATGTTTGATGGTGTGTATTTGCTCAGGGCATGGCGAAAGCTGAGAGAGGTGTTGCAGAGTTGGCTGCAGACGAGTGCAGAGGAAGAACAAATGGAAAAAACTGCAGTTTGTGAAGAGCTGAAGGAGGTAAAGACACAAGTGATAACGTCTGCTTATGTTACAGTAAAAATTGCTAAAATATTGCAAACAGTAGAGCCAAACATCACCAAAAGTCTCTATCTGAGTCCTTTCTCTCAGACTTTTACCTGTGTGGTCATTAAATCTCACATCTCCATTATTTAACACTGAGGTGCTGAAGTTCAATGTTTTTGTTTTAAATTAAAAAAATATATATTTAAGCAAACAGTCAAATATTAAAGGAAGTATCCTGATGCATGCTCAATAATCCAGGTAGAAAAATCCAAAAAAGTTCAATCTGGTCCTCTGGACATTCAAAAAACCAAAAAACAACTTCACAATTTTTTTGCTTTGTGTTGTTTTTTTGAATGTCCAGAGGACCATATTGAACTTTTTTGGATTAAAGGAGGTAAATCCATCCTTCCTAAAACTACCTGCATCTAAGTGAACTAGAGAAATAGCATTTCCTGCGAAAATGCAGTGTGAATGCTTATTGCGGAAGAATTAGCTGAAAAACAGCTGAAATTAGCTAAAAACATGCTGAAATGTAGCTGAAATGGAAGAACAAGCCTAAATTTGCAGGAAAAAACCCCAGAAAGAAAACATATTTGCTGTATTAGGTTTAAATAAGCAGAAGTGAGCACAAAAATATGAAATTAGCTAAAAAAAAAGGGCTTAAATTTGTAAAAAGTAGCTGAAAAGACAAAAAGAAGCTTAAACTACCAGAATGAAGCAGAAAGAGCTGAAATGAGCTCCAAAAAATGTGGAATTAGCTGAAAAAGCTAAAATTTGCATAAAAACAGCTAAATACTAGCTGAAACGCATAAATAAGCTGAAAGGAGCAGAACAAGTTGAAAGTAGCAAAAAGAAATTAGAAGAAGCACAAAAATGCTGAAGGTAGCAGAAAGTATCTAAAAGGATCACAAAACAGCTGAAAAACATCTGAAAGTAGATGATAAAAAGTTTAAATTTGCACAAGAAAGCTGAAAGACGCTGAACCAGAACAAAACGTGAAAGGAGCAGTAAAAGGTTGTAAACAGATCTAAAGATTTGAAGGAGGTAAAATGAGCACAATTCATTTTCTGTGAGAAAAAAGTGGCAGAAAAGGCTAAATATTTCAAAAAGCTAAAGCTGCACCAATACTAAAAGTCATAGCAGGACTGTTCCGAAAGAGCTGAACATTTTGATTTATGATTTGTTGAAATAGCACAAAAATTTGTGGAACAAGAAAGATGCCAAAAAAAACGTATGTAAGAAAAATCACAATAGTGTGAATGCTTCATAAACGTTCACACTATTATGAATTTTATTAAAGTTTTAATAAGATATACAAACTTCTTAAACTGTGATGAATCATTTTATTTAGCAGCAGCTCCCAACGATGCACACATGTGACAAAACGAGCATTAAATCAGATCTTTTGAACAACCTCCATTTGGAGAAATGGAGTTTAATTCTGACCAAACCAATGAGCTTTTATTTCTCCAAACTGGGATGGTTCAAAGAGCTCACTATAAGTTATCTGAGCAGTATCTGACTGAGGTGAATATCATCATGTGTTACTGTTATTAATAAACCTAATCCTGTGTCCCTGCTGATGTTTTTAACAGCTGGAGGAGCGCATTAACAGATTGTCCGCTGAGCTGGAAAAACTGAAACCAACCATGCTGCTTCACACCGAGAGAATCCAACATTTACAGTCTGTCCTCCACACCTCAGACGTTCATCCTCCCTGCTCAAAATCAACAGACAAGGAAACCAGCAGCTGTGTGTTTGCAATATGACCGGAAACGACTTTTATCTCACTCACCTGCTTGTTGTTAGGACCGTTACACCTCTGTCACGATTTCTGGAAAGAACAAACTGAAGTATAAACAAAACAACCAATATTTTAAAATAAATATTAATCCAAAAATCTTTTCAAAAGGTTCATCACATCAAAAACCATTAAAGCCAACTATTTCAAAGCACCTAATTTGTAAAACGATGGATAGGAGTCCTCCTTGTGGCAGATGGTGCTAAATATTTTCCATATGTGTGTAAAAAGTGACTTGGCTGTTTTCAAAGGAGTTGCCCTTACGCAACAAGTTTTCTCCTTCATATGCACCAGAGCTTCAGATAATTTGGTGAATCTCGCAAGAAAATCAGACGTTTCCGACTCAAAGAGAAGACATTTGCGTTTTGACTTAACAGGACAAATTTATCTAAATGTTTGTGATCCACAGCAGCTTAAAATGAGAGGATTCAGTCAGGTTTTACTGTTTGTCATCTGTGTCTGCTGCATTAGGGGTGAGTTTATTTCTGAAGTCTTTTTATTGTTTCTGTTGGGATTTAGTTGCATTGAGATGTAAAATACTTTTTTTTACTGTTGATGCTGACATTTTTATAGCCCATTTTCAGGCCCTTATTAAAACAGATGTTAATGAATATCATTGATTGCTAAATCATTTAAAAGTTGGCTGAAGATGTGGATTTCTTTGCAAACACCAACGTTTCTTAAAGCCATCTTTCTGACACACAAACATGCTTTAAATTAGTCAATGTGGAAAAGGACTACATGCACCTAACTCCTCTGACTGCCTTGTGTGGATTATTAAAACTACCAGCCAAGAAGATGCGGTGGTGCACAGTTTCAGATCCTGAGCAGAGGAAGTGTGCAGAGCTCGCTAAAGCTCTGGTGGCAGTGCTGCCGCCTGCTGCTGTCGCCGCTTTTGCCAGACTCTCATGCGTACGAGCTTCCAGCACGGTGGACTGCATCGATAAAATCAAGGTGAGCAAACTGTAAAATTCTGAAGTTGTTAACACTGAAATGACTAATGCATGAGATCATGTATTTCTGTGAAATAAATATATATATATATATATACTTATATATATATATATATATATATA